AGAAGAGGGGTCTGGATAGGAGTAGGCTATCACTAGCACAGCCTCTTTTGTTTAGCTGGGAAAAGCACCACATGCAATGGCCGTCCATGTCCCAAAGAACAAGAACGAGTTTTGAGGCACCTCGATGGGATTTACCCACTTAATGCCCCATCAGGCTCTGGAAATGCTGCAAACCACGGACACGGACACAGATGTCAGGAGCTGAAATTCCCTGTATTTTGCAGCATCTTCTCATCAGCCCAGGGGAACTGGTGGGGACCCTCCATAGGGTGCCCTGTATAGCGAGTTGGTCTCGCTGCCGGGCGGCTGCCTGGGCGAGGCTGGCAGGCTGGAGAAGCACCGGACTGTCCGTGCCTGCCCACACTGGGCCAGCCTCAACACATGCTTCTTTTTTTTTTTTTTTTTTTGTATGCAAATGAACTGGAAGCTTATTAACAAGATGAGAGGCTGAAGCCTAATTAGCAGCAGGACGAGAGAGCCACACTGGAGCTGAGTCAGCGAGTGGGAGAATCGCTGGCATGGCCCTCAGCAAGCTCTGCAGTGGGCCCTGCCACTGCCTCCCACTGTTTCCAAATCACCCCAGAAACCAGGAGCATTGAGCAAAACCTGAGCGTTTCTGGAAGGAACAGGGGTGCCAGCTTCAGGCAGGGTCTTGCTATGGACATAGCCTGCATGGGTCACCCCAAAGCCACCAGCCTTAGTTTATTCTCCATGATGGCTGCACTGCAGCCTGGATTTTACAGGTCAAGCTAGGGCAGTGTTTCCAAGCATATATTGGATATTTAGGGGCAATACCACCAAGCCTCATAGTGATGGACAGAGCAGAATTGAGGCATTTGTCGTATGGGCTCAAGCGTACTCAATGCTGTTGGCAGGGCACTAGTCCTTGTGTAATTTGTTATAGTGAGTGTGTGCTTCTGATTATGTTTCTTTTTTCATTTTGAAGAAATGTTTTCCCAGAAAGAGCTGAGAAGAAAACAAATGGGAAAAAAATCAGGGATCTTTTTTTTTAAAAAAATAACCATCTTATTTTCTCTCATCGTTTCTTCTACCACCTTCTCCCTGCTCTGGAGGTTGCTTCAAGCAGAGGAAAGACAAAACCTCCTCCAGCTGCCAGGCAGCTGCAGCCGTGCAGGCAGGGGCCACCTGTCCTGCAAGGGCAGTAGCCGCGGGGGGCCAGGGACTTGCCTCCAAATAAGAAGCTGCCAATAAACCCCTCTTATAATTTGCACCTTTGGAAGGCGACAGCAGCCTTGCGGCCCCACCATTCATTTCCATTTTTAATTAGCTGGGCCCTCCCAGCTGCCCAGCCCTGGGGCCAGCAATGGCTGCAGGCAAACGGGGTTGATTTTAGGGGTGAACAGAGCATTTTTGTGGCCTACAGGATGGGAGACCTGTCAATGAGGTGATGGCATTCATCTTTTTTTTTCTGTTTTTTGCTATGTATTTTTTCTGCTTGGTCTCAGTCCAGCCCTGCCTCCATACAATCAGGACCCACAGCTGTGCCAAGCCAGCACCCATCCATCCGCCCCCTCCTCTGGGCTCCTTCCTCGTCATGGTCCTCCTCTCCTGGCACTGAGCACCCATGTACCACTGTCCCTGGGTTCCTCCTTCTCGTGCATCCCCTGGAGCAGCACTGCCACATTGGCACCTTGAACAGCCAGAGCGCAGAAGGCTGCTGCAATTCCCTTGAAAAGCTATTAAAACTCTACCTCATTAGCAATAATTAAAAGGTGTAGCACACATTCCCAATAGCTCATGCCCATGGGCAGGGTAATTTTGATTTACTTTATTTTAGTATGGTTTGGTTTATTTTCTTCAATGTAATTTAATTTAATTTTTTCTTATTTTATTTTCTAGGCTTATACACCCACCACCATGCCCAAAGGATGGGCAGCCTCCCCCTCCATGCCTTCCCCACGGTGCCAGCAGAAGAGGGACATGGGGATGGCCACCAACCCCCTGCCCACCGAGTAGGGGAGCGGGGGGAGCTGCCTGCATCCAAGGCACAGTAAAATATTTTACTACAAAGCAGAATTACTCCAAAGACTGATGGGCTGACTTGCGAGACCCACTCACATTTATGGAGGTCGTAAGTTATAGACTCCTGGTGAACTGGAGAAAAACATAACCCTCGCCTTTTATAGGCGAAACTTCCTGCCATATATTAAACTCTCCAGCAAACGGACGGGGGCTTTACTGCAAACTATAACTTTAATGCCTCCCAACCCCTCAGTTAGTTTGGAAGGATTATTAATAACCAGGGTGTGCTTGGCCAGCCCTTACAGGCCAGCAGTTTGCCCTGGTGATGTGGTGGCTGGTGGTGGCTCTTGACTGGAGCTGCTGGCATTGGGACAGGTGGGAGTGAGTGGAGTGTGTGGGGGGGAATGACTCCCCAGCCTGGCAGGCAGGGCCTGGGGAGATACTGGCAGCTGCCTGGAGGGAGAAAAAGCTGTAAGTGGCACCTGTGGGACCTGGCACATCCTGGAGCATCGGCACATCATCGATCCACTGGTTTCTGCTCACCAAAAGCCTTTTGAAGCTTTTGTTGTGGGCACCGGTGGGGCCTGGAGCACACCATGTCTTTTTTTCAACTTCTTGCCCGAAAATATTAAAATGTGAAATGGAAAGAGTGCAGGAGCCTGCCCTTGGGGTTTGCTCTTGCCCAGGGCTGAACTTTGTGTCCAAATGTGGCAGGGGAAGAAGAAAAAGCTGTGGAGGCAGTGAAGGGGGAGCAGGTGAAAGTAAGGAAAACACAAACAATCCTGTTTGGTTGAGGTGAATTTGGCTTCTCTCTTAGCCACAAACAGCCATCAAAGGAGGGAGGGTTCTGTACCCAGTGCAGCTCCTTCACCTGCCCCTGAACACTCTGGGAGGCTGCATGTGCCCTTTACCCACCTTAAAATCATCTTTCTTTTGCAGGGCTGGGGGGGAAGACTTAAGCTGGGAGAGGTGCAACATGCTCAGACCCACTCTGGCACCCAAAGGATGTGTTCCAGGGTCCCCCCAGCCCAGAGAGCATCACATCACCTTCTCCCAGAATCACCTCCCACCACCTGACTTTTTGGGGCGATTTTCTCATCGGGGCCCGGTGAGACTTAGCATTTCTCTGTTTGGAGCCAGGATGAACATTTATTAGAATTAAACAGCTGGGAGCAAGATGATATTTAAACTGGTATTAGGAGAGCACCGGTGGAGGGAGATAATTCCTCGGGCGGTCTGGCAGCGTGGCGGCCGGGGGGCTCCTCGGGTCTCCTGCCGGAGAGCGATACAATTAATTTGCAGCCAGAGCTGGAGGCTGGCCTGCGCTGATATTGCCGTGTTATTTAGAAGAGAAAGGTCAGGCTGGAGATTGAATAATCATTGACAAGAAATCCATGGGGGAGCAGGGCAGCAGCTCCAGGCAAGCTCCAGCATCCCTGCGCTGCCTCCTCAGGGGTTTCTGTTTCTTTCCCTATGCTTTGGTCCCCGTGGGGTGTTGGAGGAGTTTGTGTCACGGATCGGGTTTTTTTTTTTTTTTTTTTTTTTTTTAAATATTTGGAATCCATTAGGGAGAGAAAAAAAAAAAGGATGGGGGAAAAAAATAGAAAAGAAAAAGCAACTCAGAACAACTGGATCATCTTTACAAGGGATAGAAAGGGCTTTGCAGGAACAAAAAAAGCAAACCGACAAAACCAACCCCCCCCAGACAATGTCTGATTTACATCATCTTAATAATAACAATAATAATAATAATAATAATAATAATAAAGGTGTATGAAAACAAAGGGACTCCAGGAAACCTTGGTATTAAAAATAACATCCCAAACCCTATTCAGTGATGTGAAAAGCTCATTTTTTTTGGAGAAGGCGGGGGAGCACAGAAACTATTTTAAGAGAAAACTAAAGCGATGCCAACCAGCATCTTCCTTAGTGCTTCTCCTTGAACCTCACCCTGCAGCCACAGAGATTTCAGGATATATTGGGGGCTTTTTGGCTGTGTCCCAGGGGCTGCCACGTCCTGTCCCCTGTCCCCCATCCTTCCTAGTGCCCCTGGCTTGGGGCCAGGCTGTGAGACCCCATCTGCAACAATGTTCATGGTGGAAATGACGTTGATACCTTTTGTGCTCCAAACCCCTCATTTTTGGGTCAAGAGCTGCGGTTGGCCTGATGGGTGTCTCCAAGCCAGGGCTCTTGCAGTGAACCCTCAGGGCAAGGGTGCTGCTGGGATTTGGGGCAGAGCATAAGTGGAAACCCACTGTCTACACATTTTGGGGAGGATTCATGCCCTTTCATCACTTTCACGCAGCTCAGCATCACTCCCCCCCCAGGCATGAAGACCTGCAGGGGCTCTGCACCTGACTCCCTGTCACCCCTCAGCATCTCCTCCCCCAAACCCCTTGGGATTATGTCCCTCTCTGGAGAAGCAGTCCCCTTGCTCAGCCCCAGAGCATCCATCCAAGGATCTTCTCGGGTTGGGTGTCAAAAGGAGTGGAGACCCCCACAGAGAAACACACCCCCACCCCCCCAAACACCACCATTGCTTTTCACATCACTTGGGCTACAGCTCAAAAGCACAGGGGAAGTGGCAAGGCCGTCGTCTCAGGTCAAAATAAACTCAGCATCATCAAAGCTCCCCTCCCCTCCCAAATAATGCCAAAAAATAAAATAAAAGGTAATTTCTGGGTCTCAATGTTAAGAAACTTAAAGTGTTAGACTGTACCTATTAATGCTCACTATTCCAACCATTTTTTTTTCTTTTTAAAGTTTTACAAAATGAATTACCGTCACTTTTTAAACATTGTGTAAGAAGAAATGAGTGTGCACAACTCTACACTTTTCTAGCATTCTTGAACTAATTCACAAATGCGAGAAAATGGAAAGAAAAAAAAAAACCTGTGGGAAAAACAAACAAACAAAAAAAAGAAGATGAATGTAGGTAGTTTGATGTTATAAACTATACAGGAATGAAGCGCTTGTTGCCACAGAAAGAACAGGGATGGGACCTTCCCCCTGTTCAATTTTGCGTGCTAAGAGGGTCATTTTTTATTCTTTTATTATAAACACTATTAAATTCCGACTGCGTTTTTGGTTTTTTTTTCTCCTTTATCTGAATATACAAGAACATTCATTATCAAATGTTCGTCATCATCAATACTACAAAGAACGAGACACAAATCGCAAGAAACAATGGAAAATGTTAATAAAGCTGAAAGAATCGTCGAGTTTTTTTTGTGTTTTTTTGTTTTGTTTTTATTTTTTTTGAGTTTCTGCAGGGTTTTTTGTTTGTTTTTTTTTTGTTTTTTTTGTTTTGTTTTGTTTTTTGGTATCGAAGTCAGGTTTTTCTGGGCAGAAAAAAAGTTTAAAAAAAGAAGAAGAAAAAAACCCACAACACTTGGGGCCAGGGAGGTGGGGGGAAAGGGGAGGAGAAACAAAACCCAAAAATAAAAAAAAAACAAGAAAAAGGCAAGCGAGCAGCTATGCCAATGTGAACCACAGGGACCAACCAGGGAACCCAGGAGGTGATTTGAAAAGTACCGTGGAGGTCGAGTGCACTGCCCGGGCAGGGGGTGCAGGCAGGCAGCAAGTGCAGGCAGGAGGGGCAGCAGTTGCAGGGCAGGGGAAGGCAGCCCTGGCACAGGCTGGCTCCAGTCAGCAGGTGGTTTTGGCTTGTTCCTGGTTGGTTTCCAAGAGGTACCGTGGCATTCCTACAAGCACGGCACTGATGCCGCTCTGGAGAACAGACCTGACCTGGCCCTGTCACCCTGAAATGCTTTGCTGGAAATGGTTAAAAGGCTTCACTGAGGGAGGAGGAGAGCGGGAAAGTGCACTGCTCAGGAAGATGGGCAGCACCTCCCAACCATCCTCACAGAAACGAGCTTCTCAACCTTCTCGTTGTTCTTAACATAATCCCAGATGGGAGGCAGCCCTAGGCCTCGCAAGTCGCATCATGCTCTGCAGCACAGTCCCATCCCCAAGCCTGGATGCAAAAGCAGGAACAGAAAGTGTCTTGCCGTTGGAGACCTAAGAACTAAGCAAGGAGCAGCTTATGCCGTTTCTTGACTACCTTTCACGCCCTACTCTGATCTCACCAGCTCAGAAAATCTACTGGAACTAGGGGGAAGGTCACAAATTCCAGTGTTTTTGGAGCCTTCTGGGCTTGTTCCCCAGGAAAATGCAGGCTTTACCTCCACTTCAGGCAAGTTACGCTGCTGGCATGGTGTTGCAAGGTGACAGCATGTCGGAGGCGTGGGCACGTCCTTTTTCCAGAAAAAGGGTGGAAATTTTTCAGGCAGAGCTTTGAACAGTTCCTGCTTTAATGCTGCTCTGTGCTGGCAGTTCCCATCTCAAGATGTGGGTGGGCATCAACATGAGATGTGGCCAAGAGGTATTCGGATCCATCACAAGGTGCCAACCACACTGGTCTCCATGACACCCAGGGTCTTGCCTTGGGCCTGCTCAGTCTCCTCCCACCCACTGGAAGAACCTGTAGCCAAAAGTACTGCCCCAGCACAAAGATCAGCCTGTTGCCGGGGCAAACTGGTGCCTCCTCACCCTGCTCTTCAACAAAAGCCATGTCCTCCCAGCATCAGCTGTGCCTGAAGGGGTGGTTCATCAGAATGAAGCCTCACCACCCATTACCAGTTCTCCAAAGAGCGGACTGGAAAAGCTGGGCAGGAAATCCCACAAGTTCTTCCACGGCTTGGGATGTCACTGCCCAGAGTAACTCCCAGGATAAAATGAGCAGCTTCAGTGGAAAGACATTCCCAAGCAGGGCACCCACCCATCCTACAGAGCTTTGTCCCCAAGCAAACCTGTCGCATTAACTGTTACCAAAAGCACCCGACACACTCACCCCATCACACCCAGCCTCCAGGATCCTGCTGCCTGTCCCTTGCTGCCTGCCTGTCAGGCCTTCGGGAATGCAGTGGATGCCACTGACTTCTGTGGGCCCTGCCTGCACTGGGGAACCCCATCTCCTCCTCTTCCACAGCACAGCACACTCCCCAAAACCACAAGCCAACACCCTGCAATGCTTTCCTCATCAGAAAAGCTCCACTGCTGGCCTCCCTAGGTGCTGCGAGAAAGTGGGGGTGCCATCAATTGTCAATGCCTGATCCCGTACAACACCCCAGAGGTGCTCAGCGCCTTTGTTATCAGCGATGGGCATTTCTTGTCCATCTCTGCCTCGTTTTCTTCCCTCCTCTCCTTCATTCCAACAGTGGGCAGGGAGGATGGTGGGGTTTCATGGCTCATCCAACTTCAGGATGTGTGGTGGGGCAGAACAGGGACCAGAAAGTGCCAGCGGTTTCCCCAGAGCTGGGAATGGGTCGGTACCTTTTGGAAGCACATTGGCTCCTTCTCCTATGTGCATGGGGGGCTGTGTCCTCCCGCCCCGTCACCAGCAGTGCCCAAGGGCAGCTCACCGAGGCAGGGTTAGGCGCGGGGCGGTGATGCTGGCTGCGGCTGGGGCTGATGGAGATGAGGCGGCAGCGGGGCTGTGTTGGCGGTTCCCTACAGAGAGGTAGCGTCAGAGATGGGGGTGGGCACGGGGGGCTGCCTGCTAGTAAAGGTGCAAGATGTGACTGAGGTACGTTTGTGGCTCCTCAGAAAGATGCCCAGTGTGAGGCCATACACTGCTTTGGGGTTGTTTTATGTGGTGGTGGTTGATTTTTGATTTTCCTCCTTAAAATCCTTCTACCTGTTGACACATCCTTCGGTGGAAAGGGGTGCGGGGAAGGGAGTGGTGTTGTGGTGGTGGCAGGAGGGAGAGAGCGGCTTCTACCCAGAAAAGAAAGGGAAGAGAGTATAAAGAAGTGTCCAGATTGGCTGAAAAAAGCATCCCGACGAAGAGAAGAGAAGAGAAGAGGAGTCTTCTTGTGTGTGCTGATTGGGTTCACCTCCAGTCTGACTGCTGCGGTGTTAGGAGAGGCCCCCTCCCCTCCCGCCCCCGCCGGGGCCGGCTCAGCCAGGGATGCAATTTGCTGGGAGATCAGTTGGAGGTATCAGAGTGAACGCTGCCAGGGCCTTCTGTGGGGGAGGTCACCGATGACGGGGTAGTAGCATCTTGCCAACCTCCATTAGCCTGCGGGAAGGGAGACAGAGATGTCAGTCACTTAACAGCAACCCAGACCTACCCAAGTCACCTATCTGCTTCAGACCCTCCTGCTTCTCCCTTGGCAGTGGCCTATGTAGGAAGCAAAGATATACCCTCTGGCTTTCCCATCCCACCACAGACCACAGGGATCACCCATCAGTAGGATGAGGCCAGAAACAATTCTGTCAACAATAGTGGTTTTGATAAATACCAAGTGCTCATGGAAATTCTATCCCTTAAAAAAAACATATTTCTGCAGAAACCTTGAGCTCTGGTTGTTTAGGTTTTTTTACCCCTAAATAGGACCCTTCCCCATATGGAAGGAGGAAAATAGCACACCTCACTCCAGAAACCCCATCCTGGCCTATTATCTGGACCCAGGTGCTACAAACACACAGAACAAGCAATGGGTCCCAAGGGATGGCTGAGCCGTGCTGTGTCCTCAAGCACTGTTCCCTGTCCCCCCTCGCTGCCTTTCTGGGCACCCCTCCTGCTGCATGGTCCCTGTGCAGGGGGAAGCCATCAGCACCAAGACTTGTATGGAAGACATGTTGCACAAACACTTCTCCAGCCACCATAAAAGGCTGCGTTCGGGGATTTGGGCCACCTCTCTACTCCCAGTGCAAGAGCCTTCCTCTTCTCACTTTGCAGTAAACCCACAAATTTCTGCTGCCCTGGGGCTAGTCCTTCATGCTCCCTGTCATCCCTTCTTGAGGGACCCCAGGCCACAGCACAGCAGAGGTGCAACCACTGTATCCCATCCGAGGGTTTGTACAGCAAAGCGTGGTGGACAACTTGCTTCTTCTCCTAAAAACAAGACACAGAGCCAAATACTCCAGCCTCTCAAGAGCAGAACTACCAGAGGGCCCGGCTAATGCAGGCAGGAGCCGGCAGCGGACAGAAGCTGTCCCTCCATGGCTGCCACCCCCTTCGGAGAGGAGCAGATGTTGCACCCAACTTTTTCTGCTCACTCTGACATTGATTCAGTGCTCATCTAATTAATCCTTCCCAATCACTGGCCAAGCTCAAATAACAGTTGCAGTCCTGCTTTAGACGTGCCTGGGCTACTTGGCCCTCTCTGGCTGCCTGTCCCACTGCCTCCATGATTGGCCCCAACAGCCGGGACCCTGTGGACTCTTGAAGTGGGGTAAGGGTAGGAAAAGCCTCATTTTCCCGAGGTGCTCAGGAGCCAGCCACCTGGGACTCACTGGCAGGTTGTCGTCCATGCTGCTGACCTGCTTCCGCCTACCCCAGAGGCAGCTGAGATGGGAGCAAAGAGCTGACCATGGGCAAGCCATGAGAACCCACATTTTGAGGGATGAAATCACCTCACAGCAGGACATGCAGAAAGGACAGGCCTGCACACACACAACAGGCTTGTGTGTTCTATGCGCCTGTATGTTTGCACACTCCCTTGCGAAAGGGTTCAGGCAACAGCAAGGAAGACAGAACTCGCAACCTGAGCTTGCCGGCAGGTTAGCAAACCCTGCTCCACTTCACCTTGGGTGCAAGCATGAAACCAGACTATGGACAAACATTACCAGCCCTGCCATGCCCACCACTCCCACCAGCTTCCATCCGCAGCTGGGTCCGACCCACCGTCCCTGCCCTCCCTGAGACGCAATAGCCACACTTACATGTCTTGGACTGCTGCAAGAGGCAGCAATTACTGTAGATTATCAGCCCGACAATGACAGGCCGCATAAAGAGAGACACAGAGCCAACTCCACCGCCCTGAGACTGGCATATTCAAGTACACTTAGGACATTAATAGCAATTTACGTGCCATCAGTGAGAGAGAACCACAATAGCTGTGCTGGCAGCCTCTTATTACCAAGCCTGTTATTTGTTGGAGTTACAAGCTATAATCACAACAGAAACTTTCAAAACCCTTATCTTCTGTGACGCACCAAATCTATTTCAGAGCCGTAATTGCTATGTCACTGGAGAGTTTGCTGCTTAATGCACTCAGATGCCATTTAGTGTTTGCAGGGTCATTACAGTGAGCAGGAGGGGGGAGAGCGGAGGGGGTCGCATGGAGCAGGGCTCCATCCCTATTGTGCTCAACTATTTTTAGCGAGGCTTTTGCATGCCAGCCATGGTTGGAAGGAGCGAGAGGGAGAGCATCTTGCAGACAGCAAGCACCATACACCCTGCGCTGAAAAATGTTGGGGAGCCCTATGGTACTCAAGACTGGGAATCAGCTTTCCTGTGTTGCAGGAGTTTGTGCTGCTGATGACCACCTTGGTCAAATCCAGTGAGAAGCCAAGAGGCTGTTGGGGAGAGGCTGGATCAGGGCACCCTCTACAGACCCCACACCCTCCTGCTTCCTCAGCCTGGGAAGGCCCCAAGTGATGGAAAGAGGCCCCAAGGTTGGCTATGACTTTATCATTTTGATGCCATCCTTTGGTATGGACAAGGCCTTGGTGAGAAGCCAAATCCTTCCCCAGGCAGAGGGCACATGGGCATCATCCATACTCATTCCTTCATTGCTGGAGTTCACTTCAATGATGCACAGGCCAAGCCATGTGCAGGATGCATCCAGTTCCACCCAGCTAGCCCTGTCTCCTTCCGAAGCAAGGAGACCCCTTGGGATCTGACTGTAGTAAATCCCTTGGCATTGCTCTCAAAGACAAGGGAGTCTTCGGGGAAGACTGCTGCTCCTCGCAGGCCCTCTGAGGAACCTCTACACATAGCTGTGACTTCATCAGGAGAGGCAGAAGCCAAAGACAAGAGCAATGGTCTCCAGGAAATCTCTTCATACGTCATCTTCTGGTGCCAGTACACAGGCAAGGCCTTGGTGACTGTCCAAGTGGTGAAGCTCCAGTGATGGATTGCTGAAACAACTGAGTTTGGTGCCCATTTCCACAGGTCTCACAGCATTTTTGTCACCTCCAGCGAGTCTGGTTGGCTCTCTGCCCAGGCCTCCTACATGGGGCTGGGAGATAACTTTCTGCCAATTTTTAAAGGCTCCTTCTGCTTCGCACAGAGGCTGTCTTGATGTCCCATCTTCCATAACTAAATCCTTGTCCCACCATCGACAGGGAAGGGTGTCAGGTCAGCATACAAACACACCAGATACTGCCAAGTCTGACACATGGGTAGTAGCTTTGAAGAGGTTTCAGACCTCTTGAGTTATTAAGAGCTTGTAGCAGGGTCTCCTTATGATACACACTGAAGCTCTTACTAGACACTAGAGAACCCAGCCTTATCTGGCCATCACTTTTCATGGGTCACAGTGACAGCCTTCAGGACACACCAAGGCATCCCTGATGGATGGAGCTTGGGCACTGAAGCCCTGCTAGACCAACTTCCATATCCCAGCTTGTGATCACGATCATGAACCGCAGCTTGATCGTAACGGTGAACCACAGCTTGCTGAGGAACAGGGCAGCAACTTTCTTTTCAAGCCTCAAATTCTTAAGAGATAAGGGTCTCCAGCACAAGCAAGCGGGTCTCACTTCCTACAGGTATCAGTGCCCAGTGATCCTCACCAACAAGAGTGGATGCAAAACTCAACAGCACACCCTGCCACTGACCATGGCCATCACGGTTACACACACTGTTCTGTGAATAGGCACAGCTCTGTGCAACAGCGGTTTTAAATAAAAAACTTACACTCTCATAAACTTTAAAAATAGCCTCTCATTTTAGGCTTTTAAATGACCTATAAATTAAATTAAATTAAGTCCAAAAAAGAAATTTCTGAAATGGTTTTTCTTTAAGATGACTACAGCTCATTCATTCATTAGCAGACGGGGGAACTAAAACACTTTGTGGATTTATGGCCACGGGGCAGCAGCAGAAAGGGCAGTGTTTTGGGTTGGGACCCTCCAGAGGATTATGGCAACAAGATCCAACTTCTACTGGAACCCACCAGAACCTGGATATCTAAATGCTTTGAAACCCCTAGCCTCAGGGACCTCTGGCTGAGTATACATGTGGATCCCCACAGACAAGCACTGTCCAGAGGGACCAAGACACTGAACACCTCTCACTTAATGGTGCAAACCCCCTCAAGCTCAAAGCCTGCAAAAAGGGCAGGCTCAGACCCCAACCATCCCCTCCTTTCAGGTGGAGGGGGTCCTTCCTTCCTCTCAGTGCTACCCAAAGACAAGTATCCTCAAGACGGCTCCTGTCTCTACCACCCTTCCATCAGCATGACCATCCCTGTCCCTTACTGGGACCGGTGCTGCCTAATGCCATCTCCACCTGCAGAGGAGAAGGTGGCTGTTCTTGCTCTGCCTCAGCCATCACTGTGGGTTACAGAGATTGTGATGGCTGGGACATCGCCCATTATCCTGCTAACGATGCAGAACCGACTCCAGCCCTTTTCGCCCATGGAGAGGTCTGTCAGCTGTTGAGTAGCAGAGCCACAGAAGGGAATGGGACTTTGGGTAGATTCTTATCCTCAGCTGTCATGACTTAAGACGCATTTAAAAATTCATCCTCCATCAAGGAAAGCAAACCCTGAGCGTTGTCTCTCCTGCCAAGGTTTGCAGCTGTGGAGCTGGGCAACCTGCCGCTGACTTCTCAGCCCTGATGGGCTCCGGGGATGACTTAACCTCAGCCCCGTGCAGACATCGTTGTGACAGGGCTCTTGACTAGGTTTCGGCTCATCTCCTTCCAGCAGCTCATGGGGATGCTCGGGTGACATGGGGATGGCAGCTTTCTGTGTCACTAGCAGCATTCCTCCATGTCCTGCTGCCCTTCCTTGGCATTAAAGGGTTCAGGGGAGAGGCAGGGAAGCCCGGCATCCTGCCTGCACTGAGCAGTTCCCCAGGATCTTGCCCAGTGCTTCCCAGGGAGCAGCCACACTCCAGGAGTGGACAAACTGAGGTCCATCAAGTGACCTAGCTGGAAGGGTAAGACAGTAAGTAAAAGATACAGGCAGGAGCATGCTTGGGATATGGAGGGAGCAAAATATTTGGGGACAGGGAGGCAATCCAGAAGATTCCTAAACTATCCGCTCAGCTCTGGACTCCCTGCCTTGCTCCCAATGCCTACCATAGCTTTATGGGTAAATGAGGCATCACTCCCAAATGTGGGTGGTCCCTTTGCCCACTTGCCACCCTGCCCCTCTCTGAACAACATCCAATTTGGGCCAATCTGGGTTCCTGCCCTCCCTGAACACCAGCCTGAGGAGCCGTGAGATGCCCCCATGCCAGATCCCTGTTTGGGAAAAGCAGTGGGGACCACTGAGTCCGTGCCACTCCTCAGCTCACCAATTCCCAGCACTGCTTGTGTAACAGCCAGAAACACCAGCCCATTTCTCCTTGTCCTATTCAGTTTTTGAGTTTTCACTACCTCTTCCTTCTCCTCTCCCCCATCATTCCCTCTTTGTCTCATAATCCCCAGCAGCAACCCTCCCCCCCAAATTTTGGCTTAACCCAGCCCACTGTTATTTTCCAAGGCAACTGCAACCATAATCAGCTCAGCCTCTTTCCTTGGGGGTATTTTAATTTATACAAAAGTATCATCTCTTATCATGATCAGCCTGCGATTCATTTACTCTCAAAGTATTAAAAAGCCAGAAAGGGAATAAATTCAGCGCACAGAGAAATTAATGCGGAACGATAGGCTCTTTCATGTGGCATTTCCAAGCGCCGTTTTTGCAATGGGCTTATGTAATGAGACATAATTATCTGCACATGTTCAATTACATTACTTCACAAATCTTCCCTGCCTCTGCCTCCTGACGTCAAGCCGCCCGCTAAGCACCGGTGCTCGCAGGAGAGGGGAGTGCAGCTCCCCATCCACCGCACCCCTCTCTCTGCACCCTCTTCCTGTGCCAGCAATGGCCACTTGCACGCAGATAGCCCGAAGATGGTCACATGCAAGGTGACAAATTGCACAAGCCTTGGCTGGGAGGGTGATGGGACTGGACGGTGCACCTTGTTGGGGTGCTTGGCCACAGGACCACCATCCCACCCGAGGGACCACCACCTTCCTGTCCAGACAGAGACCACCCCACCTCAACCTTCCGCCTGCTTGATGGGGACCACGGCAGTCAGCCATGTCCAGCGCCAGCTGCCCTCTCATTCGTGCCATTCCAGATGTCACCGCCACCACCTACTCAGTGCTCACAGCCTCCTTTTCCAGGCTGCCCTCTTCTCCCAGCTTGCTGTCACCGCCGCTGAGATGGCGGACAATTGATCTGAGAAATGAAGTTGGATTGCTGTCCCGAATCTACACTGGGTTCTCCTTGTGTGTGTCTGATCGATTTCCCCCTGTGTGACACAGCTTGTCGCTATGAATTTTCATGCTAGTCAGAACCCGCCAGCACACCCAAGAACAAGGAGAAGATGCTCTGGAGACCGCCCTCCCCCTCACATCCTCCCCCAGTCTGGTTGGGTGAGGTTTTCTTGGGTTGATGTTAGTTGGCTTTGTTTTTTTTTTTTTTCTCCTTTTATTTGCAATTGTTATTGCTGCCAACCCCATTGCCACTGTGTTTTCATATGCCGGCCAGGGATGGGTTATTTTTAGATGGTTGCTCCAGGATGGTGCCATTGGCCTCCGTGTGGAGCCACCTCTGGACCGGGGCATTCGTGGTGACATTCCCCACTGCGGTTATGCGAGGTGTCACCTGTTTAGCAGCTCCTCTTGGCCGAGCGCTTGTGGCCGCAGGTGCCGGGCAAACGCTGATCGGCTCTGACAGTCCTAGACGCCAGCTGCCTGCACAAAGCCTGCCCGGTCACCACTTTTTTTGTGGGCAAAGCTCTGCCGTTGGCGTGACTGATACAGAAGCAATAAACTAGGTGACCGTAAAAGCAAAGACAAGTCCTACTAAGTGGCATTCTGAGCCCTATGGCTTTGAAATAATTGGTAGTGAGAGAACAAAAATAAAATAAAAAAAAACAAACAAAACCAAGAACCCAAGCCTATTTTTTTTTCTTACACTGATGCCCTGCGGACTATACATCTGACTTGCTGCGAGTCCGTCACTGTATCCTCCTGTCTGGCTGATAACATGGCGAAGGGTATCCACCTAAACAGACCAACGATAACAAAGACATAAATTAGAGTGAATGAAAGGTTAGTGGGCAAAGACACTTTGGTTCATCTTTGGCAATATAAAAACAAACAAACAGTGATAATAATAATAAAAATAAAGGTACATATTTAAAGAAGTGTAAAAGAGAACCATAGCTGGTCTTGTGGCGAGAGCTGAGCCAGAGGACTCCTCCTGCCTCCCTCACCACCCCCGACCTGCTCCAGCAGCCCCATCATGTTCTCTTTAGCCCCAAGTCTTTCAATAAAAAGAGCAGAGGGGGACAACAGCATGGCAAGCGTAGGGTGGGACCTCCTGGAGCACACTGCTGCAGCCAGCTCCATCACTGATGCTCAAGGACCCACATTCCTACCCCTACCCCCTTCCACCCTTCGGCCCCAAGCACTGGAAGGCTCATGGCAGTGGAAAGAGATCCTGAGAGTCTGTTGAGCACCTTCATTTCAGAGGGCCCAAAAGGGAAATATACCTACCATGGCAAAGGCACCAGCAGCTCTCCTCCAGACGCCCCATTCCTCTCCCTCCACACCCCCAGCCCAGCCCTGGCAGGGGCACGTGTGGCAGGCACGTCTTGGTGCCCATGGATGGCACACTTGCTCTGCATCCAGCATGGCCAGGGGAGCAGCTTTAGAGAGCTCTCCTTGCCCGGTGCAGAAGTGTCAGAGTGGCTGTCGTCTCTCAACACAGTCTGGAGCCTTAGATGCCAGAGAGTGGATTCATGGCACATCTGAATATTGGATGGGAGGTGCGAGACCTTAGTGAATTCCTGGCTATTTTAAAGTATTTCTTTTTGCCCAAAGCATGGGTTGACGTTTCAGTGATGCTGCTAAAAACTCCCTCGCTCTGTCTTACTGGTGTGTACATGGGTGTGTGAGTGTCTATGCTTTGGGGAGGTGGGGAGATGGTGAAGGGTGGCTTTTAATTTTAAAAAAATATAATAAAAATCTAGCTGTGTATTTGAACATTTCTTGCCTTTCAGCAGACACCTGGTTTGGCATCAAAGGAGTAAGTGGAAGCCTTGTAAAACGAGACACCAGTCCAAACATCTGGCCCCTTCCCTTGGAAGAATAAAGCAAAGCAGAACCTAAACCTCAGCTGATTCAGTTTGAGTTTGTGCCTGTTCTCCTAAACCTCCTCTCCTCCTAGTACAACTATCAAGCCAGAGCCAAATGCATTCACAAAGTGTGGGCAAGTCTCCTCAAGACCATGGTTGTTGGTTTGGTTGGGTGTTTGGTTTTGGTTTCTTTTGGATTTATTTTTTTTGGTGGTTGTTGCTGTTGCTTTTTTTTGGTTGGTTGGTTGGTTTTTCAGTTTAGTTTGCCTTTTTTTTAAGTGTTGGTTGGTTTGTTTGTGCTGGTTGAGATTTGCTCTTTTCAGACGGGAGGGAGAAGTGCCAATACAATCAAAGGCTCCTCCAACACTAATGCATTCACTGGCAGTACATCGGATGGGTCCCTACCTGTGACTGCACGTTGGCTCCAACCTGGGCCCCTTGGTAAGAATCCCCATTGAGAGACTGCACGCTCATGAACAAATCTCCAGAGTTTGACATGTTAAAAGAACTGGAAGAACCTGGAAAGGAAAGAGTGAGGCACCTGAATCACAGAAAGGAAAAAGATCCACCCCATGACTCTCAGCCAAGACGAAGGAACAACATGCAAAGCAACCACAAAAACAAAACACACAGTCAGGTTAGTAGTATGAAGAACAGAGCAAGCGAAAAAAAAGGATGCACTCTTGAGGTTATTCAAAGCCACATGTTGTTACAGCTCAATGCCAAGAACATTCTTCAACAGCTCCTCAGCTGGAGGAAGGATTTTTCATGCTTTCAATTGAAACAAACAAAAGCCAGCCTGGAAGACACGGACAGCCCTCTCCCTTAATTTCAGGGCATCAAAATCCTTCAGGCAGCTTTAAAAATCTTGGTTGTTGGAGGTGTCCATCTGGCAGACTGCACTGGAGAACAGAATTACCCAGACAAGCTTTGCTGTCAAGAGCGGAAAACTTTTTAGCAGGGCTACTGCTGTTTCTGAGAAGCTCAGATCAGGGTGTGTAAGTCTACACTGTGCTACTCTCTGCAGGGTGAGCACCTCCAGACACCATCCTGTTCCACGGCCAGGGCTCCCACTGAGCCACAGGGAGCTCTGCGAGGGAACGGTGCATGGGGTTTGCCAGCAGGACATCAGGAACCCATCACTGGTGGGAACTGCAGCACACCAGGAGGGAAGGCTTGCAAAAATGTGAAGGCACAGGGCTAGACTCCCAGTATCCACCATGTTGGCAAGTGTCTTTCATTGTGATGGGACAAGATAGGATAGAAGGTTATCACAGCCCTCCTCAGCCAGCTGCCCCAGAAGAACAAGCTCTGTAAGCATGTTCCCCACTGCATGCACCAGTCACCAATGTTACACTAAAAAATTATAACAGTGAAGACAACTGGGTGGGATCAGGAGGAAAAAATAAAACACAAATGAAAAGAAAAAAAAAAAATCCCGCCTTTGCAGAAACAAGGTTTTCTGCTTCCAGCTTTGAGATATCTGAGCACCTCCTCAACTACTGAACAGGAGAAACAAACCCATCATGTAACTGGAAGGCGGGGAAGGAGGGAAGGGGGTTAAAAATAAATAAAAAGGTTTTATGGGATTATTTCAGAACTTATCGTGCAGATCAGCGCGTTAAGTGTGAGACAGCTCAACGTGCAAGGTTTGGTTATATACATGACGTTAGCTTTGGAAAGGAGAGACTTCAGGGGCCCAGGTCAGCTACGCTTTCAGCTCCAACCCTAAATATGCTCTCATCATCTCCACTGCCACTTCCAACTTGGAAGACTGGCAACCACAGTCCTGGTGGAATTGCCCAACTATGGCTCATGCGTGCACTCTGAGAAACACCTGGCAATCCCCCCTCCCTTTGCTGGAAAGGGAAGAAACACTTGGGAGACTCCAGCTCTTTCCCTGGAGGTGGACCAGGAAGGCTCCTCTGAAGGAAGCCACCTCCAAGAAAGGTCAAGGAGCAGGTGGGAGGTCTATGCTAGAGACTTCATGTTATCTAAACTCTCTGCTGTTTTCTTTGCAACTGGCTCTTCTGTCAGGTGCTGGCAATTCTCAGAATTGAAGAAAAGCAAAAACATCACTGCTAGATACAATGCCCAAGACAGTCAAGAGAAAGACTCATCTTGAGCACAGCGAGTCTTGCATCCGGACCCTCCCACTGGTGCCTGAAAAGAGTAGAGCCAGGAATAGCTCATTGTCTGTGCTCAATGTCAACCCTGCCCAACCCGTTCCAGAGAGCAATCCCCCAGTGCTCTGTAAAATAACCAGGACTAGTCAGAAGGCAGCTGTAAGCATCAGCTCCTCTGCTTGGATGGCAAAGGACTCCCGTCACTTCCCAACCTCTCAGGTTACTTGCTTTTTTAAAGACAAAAAACCTAGGGAAATAAGCTGACAGACTGAGGATAGCCTACCCTGACACTGCTCAAGCCTACCCCTGACACTGCTCAACTTTAAGCATGAAGATGGGCACTTTTCACATCCACAAAGGTGCTTCCTAACTGGTTTTCTGAATGATCACTTTGACCACCAACATAAAAGCACAGGGCAGTAATGTGGCTTTGTACTCCTGCAGTGCCTGAGAACCAAAGGACTTTGCAGCTACCGCTCACAAGAAGAGAATATTCTCCTATTCTTTAAGGGTGAGCAGAAACCTTTGAGATCACACAAATAATCAGTGACAGATCTAGGAAGAGGACTCGGGAATCCCTGAGCACCTGACAGGGCACCGCTATTGCTCTACCCCCAGCAGAGCAATATTTCATCCCACCTTCCCCTACCAAAAGAAAATTATAACAATAATAAGAAATAAAAATGCCATAAACTTAACTGATATTTTATTGAAACTTAACAAACCTGACCGTAAAATTGAAACTGGGAGGGAGGAAATAAAAATAAACAAACAGCCACAACTGTAGTTCTGGAGTGCTGGTGTCTTGGAAATCATGAGGAGCACTGGAGATGTCACTTACAAGATATACACTGCTATTGGCAACAGGGTATTTTTACAATATATGTGCATATCTAAACGGTAAATATGTCATGCTGCTGATGTGGATGCAAAGATAAATATGCGCATACCAATGGAACCGCATGTATGGATGCATTTTTATCAGAGCTGTAATTGCAGAAAGCCCTTTGCGCTGCTGCTCTGCTGCTTCAGCACTCCTCTGTCTATGTACTAGGCATGTATGAAAATTACGATGGCCCAAAGTCTCAGAGACACGGCTAAGAGGGGATGATACACTGGGGTGGGAGAAGAGGCACAAATGTGAAGAGCCCAGAAAATTAAGACTCTTGTATTCTCCATGGAGACAAGATCCAGGAATGCAAGTCAAATCCTTCCACTAGAGGACACTCCATCATAAATCTAATATGTCCCTCTGAAAGGCTCCATTGTGAACACTCCAAAGGTCTTCAGTGGTCATAATTTGATCTGGGGCTCCTCAAGAACTGAGAGGTAACAACCACCTTTGAGCTTGTGAACCCAGGAGGAAAGGGCTCTGACCATGGAAGTCCCGTGATGCTACTGTGTGTAGACACAAAAAAAACCCAAACCACCAGAAAAACTAACACTTTTCATGACTTGCAGCAGTATGGAACAGTGGTTCGTCTTCAGCATCCAGATCTCTTACCAAACGCAAGACCTATCAACACTATTCCTTGGTGGTGAATTTCTATCAGGTCATCACCAGATTCAGAAACAGTGCTGGAAATGTTTAAACAAGCTATGGCAGTCTGATCTTGACACTGGGTGAAAGCCTACATGATAACAATGCCTGCAAAGAGATCTTTTCCACCCCTAACACTTCTGATGAGCAAAACCCACTTCAAGTTTGCCTCCAATTCAAAAATTTTCACAAACTTGACTGCTGCTATTTCTTGCACCACTTCTCCAGCTCTTCAGAGATCTTACTCTCCAGCCTCTCCGATGTCTTCTCTAACATTTTGACAGTCTCAACTTCCACCTTAAATTTTCCAGGACCTATAACAAGTCCTTTCAAGTATGTGAGAATTCAAATGGCATCAATAATACACAAACACGGTAATGATGTTGATTGGAGCTGAAATCAAGCCATCCTCCTACCACCTATGAGACAGAGATCCAGCACACCGAACCACTGAAGTCGACTCCTAGTTGAAGTCAATGGCAATGACATATATGCACTGAGAGCAGAGAACTTACCCGCTCTGTAACTTTTCATTGTGTTTCTACCATGGCCAAAGATGAGGGAAGAACTTGATGTAGGTCCTCAGCTGGACAAAGCCACCGAGTTTGACAGCAGGTCTAAAAGCCTGGGATGACCCAGCAGGACATTTGTTCTTTTTCATTTGTCAACCAATACTCAAGACAATGACACCACGACCACAACAGCCTCTCTGCTGAATGAAGCTGGGTCCTCTCTAGTGCTGCACTCTGCACAAGTGATTGCCACAAATGGAGGAAGGTAGAGAAGGTAACATACAGTAATCAGATCTGTGCCTGATGAAGTACACTTCCAGACAGCACGTATTCCCTCCATCAGCAGCTTTGCCAGAAGATTTTTACACAACAAAAGGGTGAGCAGGAAAACAATAATTCAGGACAATTTTGACTGCTCTGCATGGAAGACTTCACTGGATGTCATCACCTGTGTGTGGCCCTTGAGGACTCTGGTAGGCAAAAGGGTCTGCCCACACAAAACAGCTTTCATCTGCCATGTGGTTTTTGTGCTGAGATTGTCCAGGCAATCAAAGTGAGGATGGGGAGTTGTTAGCCCAAATGAGCCAGACATCTCAGCTTATTTGAACATCTGGCTGATAAAGTCCAACTGTGCGTATTCAGGATGAAAAGGTGTTTGACATTCAGGCCTGGGTGACTGAGGATGGGGGACCCTGCTTTGAACGTGCCAGATGGTTAGACAGATGCAATCCTTGCCCTTGTCAATGTGTGGCCAATCTCTTTGACTGACTGTAGCCATTCACCAATCTCCAGTAACATGGGCATCAATGCAGAGAACAGATGGGCCCGCGTAGCCACAGCAGAAATGAATTTAGTTCCTGTCCCAGGTCCCATCACATCCAGTTCCACCTCCTCTTCCAACATCATGGCCCTCCAGGGACTATAATGCTGGTTGCTTCTTTCTCATGACCTGTCCTCTGCCTATGCTCTTTCTTTTCACATGCCCCACAGTGTATTTAAACCAGAAGGTCCTTACAAATTCCCAGCAAATCCCATCTTTGTTCAAGCCTCTTCCTTACCAAAGTCTCAGCCAATGATCTGAAAACAGAAAGAAGTCCATGGTGTAAAAGTAGAGGCATCATCCATCTTAGTTCTTCACCTCTTCATCCACTTCCATGTCCCTCCCAGGGCAATTCAGCACAACTGGAAGGCTCATGGCCCTTGACACCAGCCTCCAACTCTTTCACAGACAGGTATTTCAGACTTAATGTGTACAGGTGTGCTTCTTGCTGCTAGCACCTACAGGACAACCTGAAGCAGGGGAGGTCACACAACTCCTGATGTCCTCAGAATGTGCCTTTTTCCCCACAGTGTGACAACGCAGAGATGCTTGAATGAGCTGTTACATCCACGTGGTTCAGGCTGGGGAGATCTCAATCTGGGATGCCACTGTTGGAGGTAAAATCCTGAGGCCCCTCCAGCTATCTTCTCACAAGAGGACTTACAAGGACATCCAAACTCACTATTTGCAAGCTGGCCCAGACTACTTCAGTGCTGACAACTGCTGCAGTGTACAGGGAGGGCCAGGTTAGAAACACTGCTTCTAGCAGAAGAAGGATCTCCATGGCCCCCTTGCACTGATGTGCTGCTTTAGCACTGCTGCCACATTAGGCACGTGAAAAGAGATTGACGTTTCTGGAGTACAGTCAAGTGAGCCAGAAAGAGGACCCAGGAGCTCAAGTCTTACCCGTTAATAACAAGACTGTTTGTCCTTCCCTGAAAATGTAGTGTTATCCAGGGATTATCTTAGCTCTTTACGGCAGGGTACCAGCCAATTTATCTTTGAAACAGCTGTGTTACTGCCTGTGGGGAAGGTGAAGAAACAGCCTCACACTGAAGCACTATTTAACTGGGCAGGCACTGGGGAAATGACTATTCCACTACATGCAGCCCAGATCTAAACCCATTTAAGCAATTTGAAACTCTTTCCTTACTATTCCAGACCTTTGGATCTGACTCTGGTCGAAGAAAAAAGAAGGAAAGCTGTGTCTCTTTGGTCCAAGCTGACGTGGACTTTAGGACAGCATCACAGGCAGTAGGCATCTCCCTCAACCCATGCAATTCTGCTCTCTACTCTCCAGCCTTTTCTACAGAGGGGTGTTAACATCAAGAGACCCCACCTGACCAGGTATTCTGAGTGAGCTGTTTGGAAATGATGACATTTTTAAAACTGCCTTTGCCTTCCCACTGTGGGGCTGGTTTGGGACATCAGCCAAAGACCCACGCCACTCATTTCTCCCCTTGTTTGATCCCTGGCTCTCCACTTTCCACTCAAATCCTCTACATCTGAGGTGTGATTACTCTGATATCTGTCCAGGTAGGGTTATGCTCACTATAAAGCATGTCCTGATAGCAACCAGCATTTGCACAGTGTATAGCTGGTAGTCTACTTAACATCCAGCTTCTGCTGTCCGCCATCATCTTTGCTCCCCCACCGTTTCCTTCCTCTTAGTAGCCTACCTGATAACAGCAAGCATCATGCCCTGGTGAAAGGGTACCATAAGCAGACACTGAGCTCAAAGGCGCAAGAGTGCCACATTCCCACTCTCCCTCCCACCCCTAAAAAGAAAACAGGCACACAGATATTTGCATAGATAACAAAAGTACATGGTACCCATGAAGTTCACTTTTTTCCCTCCTTTAAAACAAATCCCCATTTTCCAGTGCTCTCAAGAGCAGAGCACAACCAGCTGACTGCAGCCTGGGATCATTTTTGGGTTGGCTGTCCTTGTGGCAGGCACCACACATGAACTAGGCATTGTTCTCTAGCCGAGGAGTTGAAATCTGGGCAAAGTGCTCTGTGCCTTTGACCCTCAAAACAAACAAATGGAAACCACAGCAAATGGGCAGCGAAGGGGGAAAGGGAAGGAAATGACCCATGGATTTCCCTGGATCGTGGTGACACAAAGGAAAAATAAAATTCACACAGAGCACACTTGCAGGTGATCCAGACACTGTCATGTAAGCAATCAAAGGTAACCACAACAGAAAGAAAATCAAAGGATAAAAATCTACCCAAAACAATCCCCAAAATGGCATGAGTTAGGACATCCCAGAAATGCTGGGTTTTATCCATTAGGGCCACTCATGCTTTCTGCCTCAGTGAAACAAAACCATTATGCAATGACTTTTTAATTATTTTTTTTCTCCCCCCAAAGTGCAAGCAGTCCCAGCCACTTTTTTCAGATCATTCCTCTGTTTTTGTGTTTACCATCCATGCATATAACCCCCAATGCGGCACTGTCAGTCACAAGGTCTGATCATATTGTTTTTCCAATGAGAACCAGAACAGGGAAGGGGAAGAGAAAAAATAAGAGAAAAGAAAAAAGAGGGGGAAAAAAGCAGTGAAAATAAAGTACCCCCCTGCAAAAAAAAAATGCCCAAAACCAAACCCATCTCTCTTTTAATTTTTTTTTTTTTGAGACCACAAAAGTGAGACATCCAAAACCAGAAAATAAAAATTGAATTAACCAAAAGGAGAAAACAAGAGAGAGATTAGAGGGAGTGGGGGAAACAAACAGAAAAACGAACACTAACGACCCAAAATAAACAAAAACAAAAACTAACCAGCTGAATTGGGAGTTGAGGGTGAGTTAGCCTGGCTTCCATGGGCTGACACATTGGTAGCCGTGACAGCCGTTTTGGCAGCATAAATATTGGCTTCCTCTTGAAATTTACCTATGTTCTTCTTGTACCGGATTCTCTTATTTCCAAACCAGTTTGATACCTAGAGCAAGTTTAAAAGAAGACAAAGATGTTAATGTTTCAGCTCTGGCGCGTGCGGCTGAGTGAGGAAGGTGGATTAGTTCAGGTTAAGCAGTGCATATTCTTTTCCCCAACCCCCATTTTCCTAGCCTTGGAAGGAAGCACCTTCTACTCGCTTGTGCCACACCAAGACCAGGAAAGGTTGTGGGACCCCCTTGAAAGTGCTGGATTTGTACGGATATATCTGGTTCCTCCACGGAACTGCTCGACCCACCCCACAAATATATCAAACGGCTTTAAAAACACCTGAGAAACTCAAATAACCCTGAAATTGCACAACCTGAAAACAGTGTGTGTCATTTTGAAATTTTTTACTTGCCTCCTCCTTACTACTCCTCTGACAGGGGCAGATGCTCTGTTTCCCAGATGCCCCAAATTCCAGTGTGGCTTTCAGAGAGAACCCCCAACAGATTTACCTGGGCCTGGTCAACACACAAAATTGCCCTGATATCACTGAAGCTCGGCTTTCGATCCGAGTGAAATCAGTACAAAAGGCCAGAAGTGGATGCTCTTCATCCAGCTCAATTTGGCTTTGTGTGGTTCAACATGAACCACTACATAAACTGGGAGCTTCAGGAGGAGGCTGAAGAGGGAGTACAGGGCTTGCCATAAGACCTAACTTTGGTCCCAGGGAAGAAGTGTGTCCCTTGGAAAGAGGCAGGAGATGTTTCCATCATGTTTGCCCAGAGACCAGCATGGGTCTGATGTGTCTAAGTGCCCAGAAGTGTGCTGAATGGGGCTAGTGTATTTATTTAAAAAAAAGAAAGAAGCAGGATGAACTTCTTCACAAGTCATAAGTGTGACTGAAAATAATGGGCCAGATCTGAAGGTAGAATGAGGTGGTGCAGCTCTGCTCATGCCAGTCCTGGTGAAAGCTGTTTCCCTGTGCCTGTAGCAGTGTAATGCACAATCCTCAGAAAGCCCAAAATTGAGGTCCAAGCACTGATCCTTGCAGACTGCCAGGGTGATACCCTGGGATCAGTAGTATGAATGCTTGACAGAAAGGTCACTCAGACAACCTGCCAGGTGTCTGTAATAAACACCCCAAAGTTTGCATGTCAGAGGTTCAGCACAGTGATAGCATAACTCCAAAGTCTGTGAAACCAGGCTGTGGTATCTCACCAGAACTGCTTTCCAGAAAAAATGTCAGGATACCTCCCTAACCACCACGAACTCAGCATTCCCAAGATCCCACTCAGTACCCTGCTAATGATAATCCTGTTCACTTGTGGGCACTATGTCACATTGAACTATTTCAGAAATGTGGGAAATATTCAACCTACAGTTTTGGAAGCAGCTCTCAGTTTCTGTGACAGCACTGAACACATAATCAGGGCACTATCTTCCTACATGCAGGTCTCTAAGCAGAAGACACCTTCCAGCTGCTATTGACCTTGTTTGAGAAAGCTCATCAGGATGAAGAGACTAGGCAAATGCCAAAGGATGCCGCAATTCTCCCAGAAGAGTTCCAACACTCCCAGGATCGCCTGGAGCTGCAATTTTGAGCTAGGAGATCAACCTCTTTGGTGGGACTCAGGACATACTCCCTTTGCTTGCTGGTGAGCCAACACATCAGTGCTCCCCCTTCTAAATGGACTGTCCACACACCAAGACACAGAAGACAATACTGGATGTTCATCCTGGAAGCTCATGATTCAGGGAAATTGTTTTGGCATGGGTGTTGATAACTGAAACCTATAAGCTTTTATTCCTATGATGCTTTCTATCTGCAGTGCTCCTAGAGCATTCAGCAGCTTCTACACAGAAGTGGCTTCATCCACCAATTTACCTGCTACTGAACTGCAGGTATCCAATCCTGTGCTGCTGCAGAGCAGGAAAAAGAAAATATAACCTCCAGAGACTCCTAGGAGGCAAAAGGTAGTAACTCAGATCAGCATCCAACACAGATCTTGGGGTGAACATTTCGATGGCACCAGGAGCAGGAGCTGTTTGCAAGGAGCTCCATTCCACTTCTTGGTCCAGCTTTCCCATTAATGACAATGTGCTCCTTTGTGATCTTCCCTCTTGGCCATCTCTCCAACACCTCTTCTGACTTCAAATGCTGGAGCTGGTGGGTGAACTCTGCGCACCACAGAGAAGGAAGTCGGGATGAATGGCTACCACAGTTGATCTTCATCTTAAAATTTGCCTAGCCCGGTCAGTTCAGATCAACTCTGCTCATGACTTGCACACATTCACGATGTCCCATGTCCTCACTTAGCCTCAGCAAAACCAGAAACCTGGATGTGTCTTTGTTTCTACCTTCTTTGGACAAAGGGAGGGAGATCCTGGAGCCACCACAAAGCAGCCTTGATACAGCATGGTCAAAAAATATCCTAAGAGCAGCATTTCTCCTGGGCATTTTCTCTTTGTGAGGGAAAAGTTGTAAGTGTGAACAGATAAATTAAAAGTGAGAGGGGAAGCATCAGGACAGCTGTAGTATTACTTAAGCCAATATGTGCTGTCTTTTGTAGATAACTGGGCAGAATCAATGTTTGGGTCTTCTGACCCAGGGGATGCAATCAGAGTCACTCAGCAGGCATTCAACGTGGTGATGACACCTACCCTTGGATGCTGTTGCTCCTGCTGAAGGCAGACATGCTCTCACAAGGACACCAGATGCTACGGCTGTCTTCAGTTTACTTAAGTAACAAACAGGCATGTGCCTGGGGCTGGGAAGCAGCCCAAGATGAGGAATACAATAGGAGCCTAGAGGGAGTGCTAAGCTCACACGAGGACAAGACTACCAGAGGCCATATAGATTGGCTTTCAATCATGTAGCTTGCTCCAAAGAGAGGAAATAAAGAACGGCAGGCCTGAGCAATGTACAGCTGAACACTTCAAGGACTGACTGCACTCCTCACAAATCCCAGCAGATCCCAGGTCAAAGCTACAGACTCCAGGAACTATGTGGCTGCCTTGAATGTATGGAAATAATTCCATTTGTCTTTACTGACCACCTTTCTTTGAGGGATAAGCAAGTCAGGGAGATGTCATGTCCTGCAGCACAAGAGTAATGATGGAGAGAAACGACCCTGTGAAAGCCCATCCTCCTTGAACACAAACTACAACCATTAGCCTGTCTGATCCAACCCTTCCCATCAGGACCTTGTCCATTCCACCTTATTGAGCAAAATCTGCGCATCTCTTCCTACTGCCTTCCAATCCCTTGGCTTAAAAAATGGACTCAAACAAGCTCTTCTTGCAAGCCAACTCAGCACTAATTCCTTGAGGAGAAGACTTTGTTTCTGTGGGTCACACCACATCATCTCTGTGCTGTTAACACCTTGGCTGCACACACAGCCATCACTTCATGAAGTCTTCTAAATTCTCTTCCCAACTCCCTTTTTCCACCATGGCTTCAGTTTGCAAGTCTGCTGTCCACTTTCCCATTCACTTACACTAACTTGCACTAAACTCATTTAGTAATTAAATGCTCAACACTGAGACATGACTGACTTCACTGAGGTCCAGAGTGCCCTTCACCACACTAAGGTATCTTTGCTGTATTTCTGAGCTCACTCACCTGTGAGACTGTGATGCCACATTTCTTGGCTAGCTCTTCTTTGGCTTCCTCACTGGGGTAAGGGTTGCTGAGATGGGAATAGAAATACTCATTCAGGATTTCTGTAGCCTGCTTGTTGAAGTTTCGTCTCTTCCGCCTTAGTATGAAAAAAGAAGGGGGGAAAAGGAAAGGAGATCAGTGCCAGGGATCCAGAAATAGGAATGCAGTTTTAGATACTCTGACTTTCCCTACTTCCGTCCCTCTTTCCCCTGCTCCTGGGAGCAAGCAGTGGAAAAGACTCATGGTGAGGAAGCTTCCCATCTGCACCTTGCTGATGACTCCTCTCTCATCACCTTCCAAAATAAATAAGTCTCAACTCAAATTATTGCTGTGCCCTCCAGCTCACAGAAGAGTCTTAAAACTGGCACCCAGTCCTACGCCTAGGAAAGTGACTCCTGACACCTGGCTCCCCCGGGCCAAAGGTATCACTGCTACTCTGCAAAGCTCTGTGTTGAGAAAGCACTGCTGGATATATCCTTGGGGAAGTCTGTTCTATTTACAGCTAGGCATTATCTGTCTGCTACCTCTTCCCTTGTATCCCCAGTATAGTTGCCTCTCCTCCCCATCCCAAGCTGCAGTCCAAGCCACAGCCTACATATAACCACCCTGGGGAGTGAAATAATTCTACAGCCAATATAGAAGGGACAGGGTGGGCTAGAGGATTAGCTTTCATCCCTAACTGAAGTGCACATTTTCACTACAGAAGGCTGTTGGAATATACCACATAATTTCCTTCTGCCACAGCAAAACCAGGATGCGCAATTCTCAAGATACAACTGGGAGCCTCCCTGAGACCGACACTGGATGTCTTGAATTGCTGTCCCCTACCTGCTGAGCCACAGGCAACAAAAGGAAGGTAAATAGCCACTGAGGCTCAAGACCAAGAGACATGGCCCTTCAGAGGCACCTCAATTCAACCCAGAACCTCAAAACACCTTCCCCCAGCCTGAATAATACTGCATGGTGGGTGGGGAGAGAGGCTTTGTGGAGCGAACTCACCGTGCATCCAGAAATCGGGAGCGCAAGATCATGACGGCTTCACACGTGCTTTGCTTCAATTGCATCTGGATGGAGCTGAACTTGCGGTGGATGATGCTCACCATCCGCTCTATCTCCTTTGGTGAGATAGGTCGGGTCCGGCTCTGCTCACGCAGCAGGTTCATCACGTGGGTGGTGAATTCATTGCATGCCTGGGATGGTAAGAAAAGCAAAAGAAACCCCAGGATCGGAAGGTCATTCGACGGTGTCAAGGACAGCACAGAGGCAACACTGCTAAGGACAGAGAGGCAAGTGGAGGCCTCAATGGCTGGGGCTTTGTAGGGCAGACCCAGAACAAGAGTGGGTTGGCTCTTGGGAGAGAGATAAACTTCTCTCATCTGCTGAGCAGAGGGCATGAGACTCCCAGCAAACATGATGAAAAAGGAAGGAACCAACTTTTTTGCTCTCAGGGATCATGGATGGAGCTGGGGCAGGTGAAGCCCTAGGACTCATGTAAAGCATGAAGCAGTTCCAGTCACTGTTTTTCTGGATAGGACTGGAGGACCTGTAGATGTATCTGAGGAGGACCATGAACCTTTTGACCCAGTGTCCCTCCTCCCGCTGCAGGACACCACATGTCCTGCAGAGCCCCTCATGCTTCAGAGGAGCAGTTCCCAGAGAGACACAGCCCTGTTCTGCACTCTTAGCACATCAGATAAGAAGTAAATAATGATGATAATTAAAGCTTGGGTGAAGCAGGAGCCCTGACAAGTAAGGGCAAGCAGGTAGCAATCCCAATTAGTTTGTTGCTGGCACAGCACTGTCTGGCTGCTCCCACTGTCCTCATGCTGTGCTTTGAGGACAGGGCAGCGAGAGGAGTAGGGGAGACAAGGGAAGGATTTTGAGGCCACTCCATTTGTCCATCCCCACGGAGCACCTCACAGGCTCAACAGGATCCTCTGATTCCCAGAACTGAGCCCCAAAAACCAGGCTGAGAGCAGCACTTGGACACCAATGGCTCGAGAAACCTTCGGTGCTCCTGAGACACAGGCAGCTGCTCTGGGGACAGCATTCCCAGTTCCCATCCTGTGATGGGGAAAAAGGGGCTAGCAGGGCAAAGAAACACTGATTTTGTGGACTAGCAACATGGGCTTGACTTACTATCTCCCACCCCACTCTTTCAAGCTGAATCCTCCATCCATGGCTCAGACCCAACAAGGAGATGTCCCTGAGGCCAGCAGAGCCCCTCCAATTGCCCATCACCAGCTTCAGCTGACAGCTCCCATCTCCTAGTGTGAGTGCTGGCTACGAGAGCTCTCAGCTGGGTGCGTCTTTGCTCCCTGACGCCCGAGCAATTTCAGCTTGTCTCTTGGCATGAAATAAGGAGCATTAAAGGCAAAATTGCCAGCGAGCGCAGTGCTGTCACAGCAGCAGCCAGACACCATGAGAAGCCAGGCGCTGAGCATCCCCAGCCATCAACAATGGGACTGGAGAGAGGGGGGTGGAGGTTGAGAAACCCTGAACCCTGGTTTTGCAGGACTGCAGGCAATGATACTGGAGATGTGGACCGGCACAGCCATTTGCAAAACAACTCAGTGGCAAAACCAACCCCGTCAGTGGGTTGTGAGGGAGAAAGACGTGGTCCATCTCACCCTATGGGACTGGGATAAAGGCTTCTCTTACCTGGGTGTCCCTTTGGGGAGCAAAAATGATGCAGAAACAAAATCAGAAAAACAAACAAACAAAAATCCCACCCAAGGGGAGGAAGGAGCAGAAGGTCCTTCCCTGAAGCCTGGCTCTGGCTCTGCTCTCCATGGGCCTGGGTGGCAGAGGACATGGGGTCTCTTTCCCCCTCTTCAGCCTGGGGTCTGGAAGATGAGCCCTGACGTGCTCTCCACTCCTATCCACATGAGATAGTTGAGGCTCCCTCAACGCTGCACCACCCCATCTCTGTGCCTTGAAAGAGTGACAGCAGGGGCTCAGAACAGCCACCAAAGGTCATGCTTCCAACCTGCCCCTGCCTGCTCACTAGGCCCTGCTACCCTTCCTCCTCTAATGCTCTTCCAAAATGTATTTCATGGTGTGACCACACTCGGATTCTCCAACACCAGAGCCCTGCACGGCCACCCTGACTCCAGCTCTGACACAGGGGCACCCATCTAAGGTAGCTGCACATCACCTCTGGGTGTAGGTCTGAAGATGCCAACCAGCACCCTCAGCTTGGGCAATATGTCACCTGAAGAGGCAAGACATCCCCCAGCCCCACCAAGCACCAGTTACTGTGTAAAACGGGGCCTGGGTTGGCTCGCCCCTACAGGCCCTGACACCAGTGGCTGCTCACAGCCCCGTCGCATTGGCAGAGATGGTGTTAAACCACGGACCTGAAACCCTGCCTGGCCCCTGGCTGCAGAGCCCATTGTGCACCCAAAAAGCAGGGATGCTTTCTTGCTTGCACTCCATAAACCACAACTTTGGGGTAGAAACCACATTCATCACAAGAGCAAGCCGCACAACAGCGAAGAGAGGTCTGCAAAACATCTGGAAGTGTTTGAAAGAAACTGGCTCTGAGCGTTAGCCTGCGAAGCTTTTCATGCAATTGTCAGTGTTACCAATAGCTGCATTCATGACCCAAATAGTTTTTCTTTTTCTTAAGAATCATTTTCCACAAGAAAAAAGACACTTTTTTTTTTTTCTAGAAAAAGAACTTTTCAAGCAGAAAAAGTATTCGAGGAAGATTTTGATTCAAGCCTTGCTTGGGAAACTGCTTGCACTGAGGCCAGCACTTCAAAGAGGACTCCCCCTTCAGAGGGCCAATTTTTGGCAAGATATTAGGGGAGGAGTGAAAAGCAAAAAATCAAAGGGGCAACCCACACTGAGCCTATTCTCTTGCCACATCCCAGCACAAACCCCCCCCAAAATCACGTTTTCAGTCCAATACCAAGCAACAGTTTGCACTTGCCCATACACTCCTAACAATAGATGTCAGTAGTGATCCAGGCTGTGCACATCCATGCCGCGGTGCTGCGGCTCTCTCGGCTGCTCCAGCTCCTGTTCCCACCATACCATGACTACCACCCCTGGGCAGCCCTGCCCTCCGCCGCGAAGGAGCCTGTTACCTGCTCGTACTTCTCCAGCTCCGTGTGGTAGATCTGCCGGATCTGGGAGAGTTTGGCTCTGTAGTCAGAGTGCTCCACCGAGTTGTCTGAGCCGGCTCCTCCTGATGCAGCAGCAGCAGCAGCAGCAGCGGCTGAGCCACCTCCTTTTTCGGGGCCTGCTACCCCCTCGGCCAGGAGCATGTTGTCTAACCGCATCAGTTGGGGGTCTGTGGGCTCCTCTTCCTGTGCTCCCCGGATGCTCAGCACTGCAGGAGACACAAAGGGGAGAGAAAAGCCTGAGCTGCACTTGGGGCTTAACTCGGGGAAGGGGATGCTCATCCCGGGTTGGACCAGCAGGACTCAATTCCCATCAACAAGGTTTTTTTTCCTTTTCCAAGGGTACCCCAACAGGCAGTCTGCATCCTGGTGCTCATCACTGAGGGCAGCTTCTCAGCTTTTTAGCCCAGCAGTAGTGACAGGCACAATCCAGCTCCCCACTCCCCTCCCTGCCTCTTCCCCTCCTTTCCGCAGGGAAGAAGTAGGGCAGAGCCAGCAGAGAGCCCACCACAGAAATAACCCAGAAAGCCACACTTTGCATTCAAATATGCAGCAAAACTGCTAGTAACACCAACCAAAAACCCAATAAATGTACCCATTCTTGCTGCCAGAAGTGATAGGGACCATATCCCCAACTCAAGCATGTGATGGGAAGCTGGGAGTCTCTAGCCCAGACCTCAGCTCACCTAGGGGTCCTCTCATGTCATCTAACACATCATTTAAAGCCTGATCCTGCACCATTTGTATCAGCCATCAACCCCAGATGGCAGAAAAAGACGCACAGAGCCCAGGGCTGATCATGCCTCAGTGTCTCCTGCATGCTTTTAGCCACGGAGTGGAAAACCAAGCAAAAATATGTATAAAATAAATTTTATTCTTTGGAAAATGTCTTTTTTTTAGAATCCAGCTATTCCATTGAAGTCTAAACTATGCTAAGAAAAGGGGCAACAACAAATTAATCCTCCTGGAGCAACTTTCCAAGGAGAGAATTTTCCTCCCATCTGTACTTTCCACCTCAATTATTGCTTTGAGTGAAAGTCCTTCTCCTTCAAGGGCTTTCCTGCAAAAACCACATGGGAGCATCCTGACCACTCAGGATGTCCCAGGTTTGAAGGATGGAGGTGCCCTATGTGCCTGCCGTGTGTCCCCCCCAAGGTCTGTTTGAACACAGAGGCATAGGAGATTTCCACATGCACACAAGCACAGGTGTGTGCAGCTGCAAAAGAAATAAAATAAAACAAATCCTTGATGCATGAATAAAAAAGGCATTTCCTCAGAGAAATTAATTTTATTTCCCCATCTTGTCCAGCACAGGAGCTCAAAGCACTTTGTAAACACACATACCTTCCCCAAGCACAAGCTCATGCACATCCAGAGCTGGGTAAGATTGCATGGATTTTAATAAAGTCGTTCCCATTTATACCCAAAATGAATTTGACCCTCAGAATCTGCCGCACGAACAAGAGGAAGTGATTTTCCCTGTCATTTAAAAAAAAAAAAAAAAAAGTCTAAAATCAGTTGGCAATAAGAAGTAAAACCAGAGCAGTTAAAATACCTGGGCAAAAACCTAGTATGGTCTTCCTCACTCTGAAGTAAGTTAAAAGATATAGCTATTATCAATATAAAATGAAAGTAAAAGACCCTGTTGAGAGGTTTGGCTAACAGTAAAAAGAACTTTTTTTAAAGCTTCAAACTCTGCTGAAATAATTATTTTCAGGACTCTAGCATTTATGGGCATTTTTGTGATTAAAACACTCAATGTCAACAAAGGTGAGAAGGTCAGGGGGAAAGAAAAGATAGAAAAAAGCCCAACAATAGTAAATTTGCCAGTAAGATTAGCTAATAATAAATAACTTCACGCTAGAGAGAATCAGTTTCTATACAGAGGGATGGCGGCATAGTGCCAAATCAAGAGCTGGGTGCCAGTTGCTGAGCCCTGAGGAAACAGGACTGGCATTTCCCTGCACCGTGGGAGGCTTCCCATGGCACCACCAGCACCCAGCCACGTGCTTCGCCGATGAATAAATCCGAGGGGAGAGGTCAGATTTCATCAAGAAAATCTTTTGGGGTCTGCTGTCCATAAACTGAAATGAGAGATAAAGGTAAGCCAAAAACCTTAAAAAACAAGAGTAAAGTGGGGAGATGACAGGCTATGGGTGAGAGACAAACTTGCTATGAAAAAAAGAGATCAAATTCCTATTTTTCCAGGGGAAAAAAAAATCACTAAATTAAAGCACATCAAAAGCCCAAATACAAATGGAAAGCAATACACATAAAAAAAAAAACCCAAACCCCCCAAAAAACCAAAAAACCCCACCCCCTCAATAAACTAATCAAAAGCGGAGTTGCCAAAGCAGGTGCATCTGGATTTCAAAAGGGAAATATTTTTAGATTAAAAATCTCAGGAATCATTGACCTGACAGGTAGGCACAAGTGATTAATTAGTTTATGTTTAGAGAGCTGCTTCCTGATGAAAAGCACTGTATAACCCCTAAGCTTCATCACTGTGCAACATGCACAGACCAGCACCCGCTGGGTGTGTGCATCCCGAGCATCTGATGGACGCACATCCCTGCAGCAGAGAACCGAACCCAGCCGGGGGCTATGTGGAGATAGCCTGGGCTTGGCTTCCCACTCAGAATAAGGCTAGAGAGCAAATAAATGGAAAGGCCAATGTGTCTAAGCAGAACTGATGCTGCCTATTTATCCCTAGAAGGCTGGGCTCAGCCAAGGAGAAGACAAAATGATTATTTAAAAGCTCCTTTTTTATCTTCCCGGCACTGTCCCTGGCTCCAATGCACCTTCTGCCAGATTGCCTGGGGTGCTGGGCTCCTCAGCAGCTCTGACCCTCCAAAATGCATACACCCACCCACCCCTACCCACCCCCCCGCGATGGGATGTGGCTCCTGCTCTGCCAGCTGAGGAGGCTCGGGGTGAGCCAGTACAGGAATCACCAGACCTGCAGTGCCTGGGCGGCTGATCGCAAAAGGCCCCCAACTCTCCCCAGGCTGCTGGCTTTCCCAACAAATAAAAATAAAATAAATTACGCAGAATGACCCTTGGCGGTCCAGTAGCAAGCTGGAGACAAGGGGCTGTGGCTGTGCTCTTGCCTGTGCCCCAGCATCCTCAGGACCTGCCATTTGCTGCTTCTGATTAAAGAGAAGAAAAAAAAAGGAAGAACAAAAAGAAAGATAGCGACTGGCAGCCGGGGGGAGGAAAATTCATGCAAGACTTTCTGTCCTTGGCCGCTTTCCTGCTGGCTTGGCAGCCCTGGAGCAGCGACAAATGCCGCTAGAGGGTGCTCAGCCCTCACTGAGGTCCCCTGCTGCCTCAAAATGCATTTTTGTAGATATATATATATATATGCACACATGCAAATATATATATATATATATATATATATGTGTGTGTGTGTGTGTATGGATGCATTTTAATAGCAGAGCCAAGCCACGTGCCTTGTTCCCGCTTGCACCACTGCAAAACGGCACCTGGCTGACCATGGAGGGCAACCGAGGAGCACAGCTGTAGCAGAGTCACTGTCACCGTCACCAATGCCAGCAGTGGGAGCAGCTGGGGACCGCCAAGCCACCAGCTTGTGGTCCGGTCACAGACGCCACCAGGGTCACAGAGACCCGTTCCAGCAGCTGGGAAATGGCTCCCGGCTCACACACTCGCTCCTTCTCCCTCTCGAGGAAGGTATCACAGCCACAGTGCGCAGGGGACATCATCCAAATCCCAGTCCTGGGCTGGCTCGGTGGCGTGGCTGCGGTGCGGGACACAGGGAGGCAGTGGCAGGTCTGGCCACAGAGAATCAGGCGAGGAGGAAAAGCCAAAAATAACTCCCCGGCTCCTTGCCCGCCCTGTGATTCAGGGACAGGGGATGGAAACTGCATCAAATTGGCAAAGCTTTCAGATGCTCCAAGATGTTTCCTGCCAACCTGGGCATCTCCGAGGAGCACCTGCAGAGCAGCCAGCTCCATGCTCGCATGAGACGGGCAGCCAGCACCCCAAATGTGTCTGTGTCCCCACACCACAGTACTTGTGCCTGGTGTCCCTGCATGCTGGGGTGTCCCCACAGCTTAACGTACAGCCAGGGTGCATGGCACAGGGCAGGAGAAACAGCCCTTGCCAGCCATGGTGGTGGTATATGCTTTTGAAACAAACTACAGCCTGAGGATGGCCTGGGCCTGTAAAGACAACCAAGAAATCCACAAAAGTGGGTACCAGGCTCCATGCCACCATCCCTTATTTACTCCTTTTTATCGGGAGCATTCTTCCAAAGTGACCTGAGAAGCCAGCTCAGCTTCTTCTGCACACAGCCACCTCTTTTCTCCAAGGCCATCTTGAAATGCTTCAGCTTAGCAACTCTGTGCTCTCCACCCCTTCCAAACCCTCCAGATCAGAGGTGGGCAACACAGGCAGAACAACATGATGAAGGCAATCAAACATGATGGGGGTGATGGCAGCAGCTTAGCAGGAGACTGTGGCTCAGCAGTGACAACAGAAAAGGATGCTCAAACCTCCAAGCTCTACCGTTCTTGTAGAAAGGGCAATTCATCTTAGTGTGGTCAGTGTCCTCAAGCTGAAAAGATGCAAGAAGCAGGGGACTGTCCCAGTCAGACTCCCAGCATGGGACATACCCACTCACAAGGGGATGTAGACTGCAGCAGTACAGCATTCCCCACCATTTCTCATCCTTGCGTCTCCCCTTGGGTGCTACTGCATGTGTGTATGCTCATCCCCAGTTACGTGCCGGCCAGGACTTCTGGGATGGAAGCCGAAGACCAAGCAGAAGACACCAAAGGAGGCTAAGGCAAGGTGGAGCTGTGAGAATAGACTATTCAGGGATGCAATGAGGACATCTTAGAAGAAGAAGACACAGTGAATGACATGAAGCCAACCCAGGTTGCGATGATGAAAGAAGAGGTTCCCACAGAGCCGGCCTGGCCATTGGTTCCTCAACTGCTGACTTCAGCAGTCAAAACCACGGTCCCATGAAATCTGCTGTAACTGCCTGGTTAAGATCCCCTCCAAACACATGAGGTGACAGCAACTCTACAGCTGTTTGCTGACACCACCAGCCAAGGGCTGGTCCCAGCAGCTGGACGTTTAAACAAACCCACCCTAAAAAGAAACCTGCTGTGTGGTTTTAATGAGTACAGGAGAAATGCTTACCCTTCTGCCCAAGATGGGCTGCTTCTGGACAGGT